AAATAACAAGTGAAAAAGCATGAACTGAAATTTCCAAGAGCAGGGAAAAGACTGAGTGGACAATGGCATTTTTTGGGGTGGAATGTAATGCAGCAGTTTATTTTCTCACATTTCTGGAGGCTGAGAAGTCCAAGACCAAGATGCAGGCAGGTTCAGTTGTCTGGTGAGGGTCCGGTCTCTGCTTTCAAGATGGCCACTTGAAAGCTGTGTCACCTGGAGGGGAGGAATGCTATGTCCTCACATGGTGGAATGTGGGAGGGCTAGTGAGCACAACTAATGTGAAAGCTACCTTCCTCTTCATAAGCTTTTAAACACTGGGCTGTCCCATCCTGCCCCAGCCTAGCTGCCCCACTCCCTCTGACTTCTTCCCTATTTGGCCTGGGGCTTACCTGTTGATCTTGGGAAGGTCACAGAGGTGGGCCAGAGCCTACTGTGCAAAACCTCCAGTGGGAACCAGACCCCCCTCCCTGGGGTGGGGCAGGCAGGCAGGGCTCTACTCCTGGAGTGCTGACTTTTAAAATGTGCAAAAACAATTAAATACAGGGCTTTGAAGCTTGGCATGCAGGAAAGCTATCAGGAAGTGCTTGAGACCCATTTCCCACACTTGCCCCTGACATCCCCAGGGTTGGGCTCATGAGGGTGGCGCACTCAGCCTCCTGTGGGTCACTCAGCTGAGCATAGACCTCCAGGCCACAAGGAGATAACACAATCAAGCCCAGGAGGTGGCATCATGAGGTCTCCCCTCAGAGAAACTCCAGAATGTCAGGCTGATGTGTGTTGGGGGGAGTAACCTTCCTGACAGAGTTCAGGGGCGAGTCTCAGTACCTGGGAGGTCTGCAGACAGGAGCTGAGGGAGGAGAGGAAGGGGGACTGGATGGTGTAGTAAAATAGGGATTCAGGCACAGGATCAGGACAGGCACTGTTGTAACAGCTGGCTCCATGCAGGATGGACATTTTCCATCTGATGAAGGGAGCAAACACCAGCAGTGTTGCAATATTACCGTTTCACGCAGCTATGCACCCAGGAATGGAGAAGGCCACCTTTCCCTGCCCTACTCTAGCATGGAGAGGTTCGAGCTGCCTTCTTTTCCCCCTAGAATGCTTGTGTCTCAGGCCCACCAAGGGGGATATTGCTGCAGGGACCCCCCAGTGGGAAAGGATGTGGGGGCAGAAATGGCAGAGACCTGTGTCCCAAATGGGACCTATGGCCTCCAGCTGGAGCCCCTTTTTCCTCCTATCTTCCTCCCTAGGAACTCAGCCCAGCCCATGGCTTCAGGTACCACCCCACAGGGAACTCACAGGTTGATATCCCCAGCTCAGGAGTACAGCCCCCCATCTAAAGGAAATTCCTACCTTGCTCAGCCAACAAATCTTTACCTGCATCCTCTATGTGTCAGGACCCAATGGTGGTGAGACCAAGGCCCGGAGCTTACATTCTGCTGAAGTCTCAAGGGCGCCTTGAACCCAGCATGTGCTGGAGGCTGATACTTCTGGAGCTGGGTACTGCTTTAGATGCCTTATGTTCATAAGCTCATTTCATCCTCACAACAGCCCTGTGAACCAGGGCTCTTACTTTCCTCGTTTTCAGAGAAGAAAACTGATAAAGAGGTAACTTAGTTGACATAACAGAGACAGGGTGGAATGGTGGCAGCTTGATTCCAAATTCCACATACTCAACCAGGATGTTACATTGCTCCAAACAAAAATCACGATTTCTCTCATCATCTCCCTATGTGTCACCAGGGTCCATCCAATGACATAGAGCAGGAACCCAGAGGCCCCTGTTGTTACCTTCCTCTCCTCCACTCATTCAGTCACCCAGACCAGCTGATTTACCTTTTAAGTTTTTCTCCAAGAGGCAGACACATGTGTGGTTTTGAGCACCACTGTGTCCAGTCCCAGTCACATATAATGACCACCCTAGGTAACTGACTCACTAAATGCCACACTCCTGCTTGGCACAGAGGGATGGACTCCACCACCCTGCCATGCATCACTTTAGTTTGGATGAAGAATGAGCATCTTGGGCAAAGCATGACTGAGATGGAATCACTTGTCAGGTTTGGTAGGTCAGAGCCAAACCGGGCGATCTAATTTAGAAGATAAAATAATGGAATACGATCATTCTAGCATCTGAGGTGGGAAGCAAGTTCATGCACCCTGTACCTGCTACCTCGTCCGCCTCTCCAATGAGAACACAAGCTAATACGATCATTCTAGCATCTGAGGTGGGAAGCAAGTTCATGCACCCTGTACCTGCTACCTCGTCCGCCTCTCCAATGAGAACACAAGCTCCTTACGGGCAAGGATCATCCCCCCCCGCCTCTGTCTTCTCTAATCCCCTCACAGGGTGGGCAGCACTAGTAGACATTTAACTGTTTCTGGAATAATTCTATGCATGCATGCATACACAAAGAAATGCCCTCATCTGAGGAGTAACATGCGACAGTCTTCGGGGAGTGGGAGCTTTGGCGTCAGACACATGGGGGTGTGAGATGTCCTCCATCACTGACCAGTTGGGTGGTTTTAGAATAAAATACTGAATATTTTTGAACCTTAGTCCTTATTCTTTTTCATAAGAAAAGTAGGGATAATTCCCACCTCGACCACTGTGTGAGGATGGCAGAGGCAGTGTGCAAAAGTGCCCACGCCTGGGCACAGTAGGCCCTCAGCCCTTCTCCTGCCTACCTTTCCTCTCGGGAAGGAGTCACAAGTTCATCATCAGACCTGATTCTCAAGGTCAAGGCCTGGTCAGCAGCAGGATGACTTGATGTCAAGTCCAAGGAGCCAAATCAGAGCTCCTTGTGTCCCTTGTGTTCATTAAGGTCAGCCTTTACCCAGCTCCTGGAGTGCCACTGAGCCTCCACATGGAGTCAAGTTTTTCCAGCTGTGGGAGGAGGGGACATTTGGGGAACAAGAGTCAGGCAGGGCTTGATCTGAATGAATTTTTCTTTCAAAGCACTGTGCTTTTCATTGTAATAATGATAGCAAACTGTTATCAAACACCGTACATCAGGCAGGGTCCCTGTGCTTTCCATGTACTGTGCATGTAATCCTCGCCACAACCCTATGCCTAAGATATGACTATGTTACGGATAAGGAAACTGAGGCACAGAGAAGTTCAGTTACTTGGTCCTGGTAACACAGCCATTGGATCCAGCAGTCTTCCTTTGGCTCTGTGCACTCGACCCCAAGCTCTACCACCCTCAAACAGCCACCTTTGGTGAACTCTGCTCTGCCCACAACTCACCAGGACAGCTCTTCCGTGGGAAGCAAGCATTTGTACATTACCACACTCTCATGGATTCAGATGGATCCCAAGAAGGTCGAGTGAGATTCCTCCTCCTGATCAGAGATGGTGGTCAGTGTCTGCTATCACTTGAACTCAGTGTGAATTCATAGTTCTTCTCTGCCAAGAACTTGAATCTGTAACTGCATCGTGGTCCTGAATCTCCCTCTAGCAGACTCAGTTGGCTGGCGACAGCAAACCTCCTCCCCTTGGTTGGGTAAGTGATTTGTAACCCCAAGGAAATGTAAAGATCAGTGTAGAATCAATGATGAGCTGAATTAAAATCAGAGTACTGCCATATTTTATCAATTCTAAGGCGCATGGTGTTTTTCATTTTAACGTCATGGAAATTAAAATGCATTTTACAATCAGTGGCATCATACAATTACAAACGGTGGTTGTATTAGTCCATTTTTGTTGCTTATAACAAAATACCTGAAACTGGGTGATTTATAAAGA